ACCAGTCCCACGGCAACCATGAAGGAAAATCATGCCACACCAGGTCCTAGTGCTCCAACCAAGGTAAATGAAAAGGTAAATAAAGGGAAAAGAGGAGTGAATAGTAAGCATCACCAGCCCAAATCCAGAAAACAACCCGACGACAGCCAGGTACAACCTCCAAGTCCAACATCAGGTAATCAAACCAAGGACATCCCTCAGGTCTTCAATCCAGAGGACATCCACTCAATTGTTAGTTCCAAGAGAGCAAATGGCAAAATCTACTACAGAGTAAAATGGAAGGATCCAGAAAGAGGAAACACATGGGAGTATGGCAGCAGCATTCCAGACTCCATTCGGAGAGAATTTCACCTCAAAAGAAGTATGTCAGGAAAACGACGAAAACGTCCACTGAAGAAGTTTTTCGACCAAAAGGAATCAGACAATAAATCAGTCAATGTTCTGTCAGGGAATACAATGTCAGGAAATGTCGAGCAAGACAACACCAAACCATGCATAGAATTAGACGTCAAACCATATCCGTTTATTCCAAAACGCCTACGAGGAGTAGAACATAAAATAGAAAGAGTTATGGGCATTGAAATTATTCAAGGAGACTGCTATGTCAAGGTCTCATATAAAGAATATCCTGGTCAATTCACATGCTATTTCGAAAGTGTTCCTCCCCACCTCATACAGCGCTACCTTGATGATAGCGGGAATGATCTCCGTGAGTGGTGCGGTCTAGAAGATAATCCTCGATATGATCCAGAGGAAGCACCAATTTATAAATCCAAAAGGGTTATTTTTCCAGATACAGACTTGGGAAACATCAACACCTTTTCCTACCGTATTTCACTCACAGACCGTAGTCACACGCGACCATACCAGGATCAACGCTCCATACATACCAAACAATGCCAATTGCACATATTCTTGATCAAAATACAAAATCTCCTGAATAAACGGTGCAAATCACGAAACAGCTATTAGCTGTATCTTGTTATGTTTTCTTGTGTCCAGTCTTTTCACTATGGGTCGCCAGTTGAGAACAAATGGCATCAGCCTGATCATCTGAGTTATTTGTATCACAACAAATTTTGAGCATTGACCTGATCAACCAATCTCAAAAGCGAAGTGAAATGACACGAACCCAAACCGTACCGAAGCGAACCAAACCATACTGGGAATCGGACCCAAACCGTACCGAAGCGAACCAAACCATACTGGGAAGCGAACCCAAACCGTACCGAAGCGAACCAAACCATACTGGGAATCGAACCCAAACCGTACCGAAGCGAACCAAACCATACTGGGAAGCGAACCCAAACCGTACCGAAGCGAAACCAAACCATACTGGGAATCGAACCCAAACCGTACCGAAGCGAACCAAACCATACTGGGAATCGAACCCAAACCGTACCGAAGCGAACCAAACCATACTGGGAATCGAACCCAAACCGTACCGAAGCAAAATAAACCAAACCCTATCGCATTGAACCAAAGGAAAATCAAAGCGAAACAAACCAAATTCAAATAAAGCAAACTTAACAACCGAAATGAACCAAAACAAAGAAAAGGCAAACCAAATAGTTACGAAAACTAACAATGATATACACCTTTTGTATACCGTATTAATGTAACAAATCAATGCACTTGTTATATGCACATGCACATATAATGTGTCTAATGATTGTATCCAAAAGTAGAAGGATATTACTATTTTTTTCATGATAAACTTTTGTAATTTGCCGCCAATACATTCTTCCTGGTCATGACACCGTTTAGTAATAATTATGTACTGATCTTTTACATCATAATTATCATATTTGTTTTATTTTCTAGTTATTACAGACAAACTAAGGAAGTATTTATATATGACATATTATTTGAACATGCTAACTCTCTTTTCTTTGTTTCCATGTAAAACCTCCATGGACACAGCCTACTACCTTACAACCCCAATCCAGGATGTGGAACTCAAGGCCTCCTACATCACCCATAAAACCACCAGTACAGAGTGCCAAGACAAGCCAGCTCCACATCCAGAACCCCTGATGACAGCATTTTTATATTATGTTTCCTTATATCAAAGAGACTCTATAATAATTATTATTCACTACTACCAGTACCCAAACTTTATACATTGTCCATCTAAGCCTTAATTATTTTTATTTTTACACGTTTGGGGTCCAAACTTTTTCAGACGGAGGGGAAGTTATCATGGGATAACATTTATACTAAGTTATCTTATAATAATTAGATCTACATCAAGTGCTTTTATGAGTTATCATGGCGTAATATTTATACACCCTTCATATAATTATAGTTTAGCAAGTAATAATTATCATTAGGTAAAATGCATATATAAAATATCAGTAGTTTCAGTTAAAGCTTTTTAGATGGTTGCTAGCCTAAGGTAATGGGAGCGCGTCTTCTAGACATACTATTCAATAAGACAAGAGTTACGTCTACATAGTTTAATTGATTTGAAGCTTTTAGATAAATGCTAGCCTAAGGTATCAAGATCCCATCTCCCAGACAAAGGATATTTATTTAAGTATATCTGTCATCACCTACCGGGGTATATTAGAATAACATTACTTCAATTAAGACTCATTAAGGATTAGCCCCCATACAAGCTCGTCTATAGTGCATTAAGGATTAGCCCCCATACAAGCTCGTCTATAGTGCATTAAGGATTAGCCCCCACACAAGCTCATCTATAGTGACACCCTAATCTCTTTCAAAGCATCCAGTAAATTATCAACAAGATTAGTGCCAGTCCAACAGGATAAACAGGATTTAGTATTCCCCTCTGTCTAGCCATCCATTTAGCTTAGGACACAACCAATCGTGTATCATCCAATCACATTCCATTTTATTGTTTAAATTTTTGTTAAATACATACTGTAGGCAGGTTTTAAGCAGAGAAGGGGTTTGACTCTCTTACCAAGCAGACCTCTCTCCCACAGCCCAGAGTGTGTACCGACTCTCTGTGGCACCCTCAGTTATTATCTAAGTATATTGTAAATTGTTAATTGTTCTTGTAAATAAAATTGTGATTAGTCTCCTGTGACTCTGGCTCTTTGCTGACTAATTCCCCAAGAAAACCAGCACGTCATTTGGAAGGTATTGTTCACCCAGAACAGTTCCATGATAAACAACGCGTGTCGGTCTGACGTTGATTAATCAACAATTTGCATACTCGTATATGCAAGGAGCCGACGTATGGTTCCTGTAGGAAGTGACAACTTGGAGACGATGGCTTGCGGTATATACAGTTTTACTTTATACATGTAGATATATACATACAAAAGACACTTTGTGCCAGGTCAGCACATAGTGGTTGTGGTTGTTGTCTTGGTGCCCCGGAGCACCCAGCCTAACCCTAGCTAGGCTAAGGGTAAGACCTTTCTTTTCCTCCTTCTCTCTTTCTCTCTGGACCAAGGCTTATATAGCCAAGGTCACCTGACATGTAGTAAGTAATAAATATAAATGTAAACAGTAAATCATCAGTGACATACTTGCACATCCTGTTCAGGATGGCAGACGGTTGATGTACACAAAAATGGGGATTAACAAATAGGATTAGCATCTAATAAATAACAGCAATTAAATGTTTCAAGGCATATAGATGTCATGGCTCCAGGGTAATGAGCCTTTGCAATTAAATGTTCTTTAGACAATGGGTGTCGTAAATCAGTCACCATGACAGTACATGGATTTAACTCGTATTCCAAACTTGGTACTTTTAGCAGGAAAATGGAGAAGAATCATTATTTTGATAAAACAAGATATCTTTTTTTAAAGTTCTTATTTGTTAAAAAAACAGAGGTACTTTAACATTTTGAACAAATTTATTGTTTTTTTTCAATTGTTGCCTGCCCAGAGCGCAGGATTTGGAATCCAAGATAAACTGCTGTTAATATCCAGAAATGTTGCTTGTTATCACCTATATACTCACACCTTGCACCGTCATTGGAGGGAATATTCTAAATCTTGAAATTAACGCTAGCCTGAAGTAAATGAGCAAAATGTGAGTTGTCTTTGTTTGCATTACTGAAACTTCTCATTTATGTCTCCAAAATGACCATAAACAGTAAGACGGCCTCACTGCACACTTTGGATAGCGGAAATATTAACTTGAACGAGTAACGAGTATATAACCATGTCATTCAAAGAATAGGAAGTACACAATAGGCATCCGGTGAGTTATCACTGATAAGGTAAAAAATTCTACCCATATCGCCGTCATATAGCTGGAATATTGCTGAGTGCGGTGATGAACAATAAACATGATGAACAACAAGATCTCTGCCGCCAACCTGAAGCAACTGTAAATAATAAGACATATCCTGTTTCCGTAACTTAAATCCCACTGTATCCCATTATCTTCCCTTCCATATAGCAAGTTCGTAAATATAGCAACAATCTCTGTTGTCTGTTTTGTAACTTCTGATGGCAAAATAAGCAGGTTTTATGTTGCTAGTATCAATGAGTCCACATATACTCTTGTTTTACACTTCACTGATGAAGACTAGCTGTACAAAGTATACTCCTAGAGTTATCATTTGTGCTTTCCAAAACTGTATTAGGAATAAGACTACAAAGATATTCGGGTAACAGATGATTATTTATTTTGTAAAAAGTTACCAATTGTGTCAACATCTTTCATTTGTACTTCATCATGTTCATTCATCATATTTCATTACGACAACATAACATCATACATATACAAGTCAAGTCACAATTCAAATTAAATTTGACTTCAGCAAATGTCAGAAGCCAGCTTTCAATGCATGTTATGAGACAAAATACTGGACACACTTATATCAAACTTTAATAATGTATTAACGTGTCATAAAACTTGTGGCAATCCATTTTTCACTGTGATTTTAATTGGAAAACAATATTTACTGTTTATAGATATAAACTGAAGGATGTAAAACTTTTAGATATTCAATACAGATTTCTACAAGGAATTATCTACACAAAGGATAATAACAACCAATTTGTACTTTACACCAATTCTCTCCTCCCGCTGCTCACACTTCCTTCCTCTGCATATGACATTATATGGCGGGGAACCATTGATGCTCTGCAGCAATATCATCTTGTTCACTGAAGTTGGTTTGTAGGTTTGTAGGTTTGTTGTTTGACGCCGCACTCAGCAATATTCAAGCTATATGACGGCGGTCTGCATAAACAATCTAGTCTGGACCAGACAATCCAGTGAATATAATGGGTGCAGGCTAAAACGGCACCTCAGCAAAACGTCACCGATTTCGATGACATCCATCAACCAAGTCAGCGTGCCTGACCACCCGATGCCGCTAGTCGCCTCTTACGACAAGCATAGCCGCCTTTTACGGCATGCATGGGTTCTTGCAGACCTATTCTACCCCGGATCTTCACGGGTCTTTACTGAAGTATTCAATACTGAGCGTGTAATAACAAACAAAGGGGGAGAACTCTTGAACGCCCCCAGTTTTTTAGATTTGACAGCCCTTGAAATTAGTACTGAAATGCCATATATTATTAATATGATTACATAACTCTACTGACACAAATGAAATATACACATATCTGCCAGAGGTCAAAGTAATGACTACACACAACAGCGTAACGCGCATCAGCGAAGCACCATCAGCGTAACTGTATAGCTAGTGGTAAAACCCAAGCAAATGGAAATGGGTCACACGACCACCTCCCATCACAGCATGGCTGCAAGAAACTAATGTGACAGCGATTTGTTAACAGTTTCACACACGGTGTTCTGAGCAGGTCACCGTGTTAAGTCAAATGTTCATATATTTGTTCAAACTCACCGACAGAACTCGAGGGTTTAAATCGCCACGCATGTCGCTTCCAAGAATTGGGATTCCGGGAATGAATTTAAGACGCAATCTGATTGGCTGTGACGTAAGTGTTATTGTGATCGTTGTTTATGCATCAATGCCGAGTTACGAGCGTGATGAAAACACATTCATATCTTTCTTTGTGCTCAAACTTGAGCTGTATTCACGTGTAGTCTTTTTTATAGTATTTTTTATATCGATTCGTATTTATTCATGCGAATAGTTTGTTCTTTTTAAATGAATATATATGCATTTTATTCTGCCTCAAGTTGTGTGGCATCTTGTACCAACTCATTTTCAATCAATCTTGTTCTAATCCTTCAACGTGTTCCACCAAAGGAAAACATAGCTGTGAAAAAAAATATAAAATATTGACCTTTGTGTGTCCTACGATTTTGATAGAGCTATTCCTATGGTTGAACCACTCACTAACCAACTCACACATGTCAACATAATTATTAGTAAATAATAAGTATAAAAGGGCGGAGAAAACACTGTTCAATAGTGTATCCTGGTTATTCATAACTGGCATGCTATAGCCCTAAACGAAGCAAGTCTAGATTTTCCGCAGGTCCACTCCCATCTCACTTGGGCTCCTCTTCAGTAAGGGACGGACAGGTAGCCTAGTGGTTAAAGCGTTCGCTCGTCACGCCGAAGACCTGGGTTCGATTCCCGACATGGGTACAAGGTGTGAAGCCCATTTCTGGTGTCCCCCGCCGTGATATTGCTGGAATATTGCTAAAATCGGCTTTAACCATACTCACTCACAAATGTTGTTGCTTGTTTCTATCAAAATAACATATTTAAAAGACTAAGTGTTAGTCTAGATTATATTTAGAAACTACGGTCGCTTTGTGGAACGGGGCACCGGACCAGACAATCCAGTGATTGAGATGGCTTCTACTGGCACGCACTTAATTGTTAGGTCATGTCTTTTTCTTTCTTTGTTTTGTTTTGTTGTTGTTGTTGTTGTTGTTGTTGTTGTTTTAACGCCGCACACAGCAGTTTTCCAGCTATATGACAGCGGCCTGTAAATAATCGAGTCTGGACCAGACAATCCAGTTATTGATATCATGAGCATCGATCTACGCAATTGGGATACGATGATATGCATCAACCAGGTCAGCTAGCCTGGTCGACCACCCGATCCCGTTAGTCGCCTCTTACGACAAGTATAGTCGCCTTTTACGGCAAGCATGGGTTGCTGAAGACCTATTCTACCCTGATTGTTAGGCGATGTAAGAAGGCGCAAACAGTGTTAGTGTTACGGGAACAATCGCGTTTATGGAACCGAAGTGGAATTGATGCTCTCTACCTTGACCTAAATATTTGTCGCTTTTCTATACCCCGCTGATGAAAGTAATCATTGAAAAGAGGTTTGGAATGCATCCCACATATATCCTCGGACGCAAACGGAGATAGAAATGTCCACGAAGAGGACGCGATATGTGACCCACAAGGGCTTGTGACACAACAAATAGCAGCTACAAGATATATGGCCACAACTTGTGTCTCTTTCTGTATCAATAGATTGGTTTGTTTCTATCAATATTTCCTTCTTCTGAGACTAAGCGTTAGTCTACACCATATCCATTTTCTTGGGTTTTACCAAAGTGATAACCGTCTAGACCTGCATCACATCCTCTATATCTACGAAATGATACAGAGGATGCCTGAATCATTGCATAACTTGCATTCCTTCCACATCTATCCAACACGCTTGAAATACTGTCAAAACGGCGTTAAACAAAACTCACTCACTCACTCTTCCTTTCTATTGGCAAGGCAACTTTGCAATAGGCCTTCAGCAACCCATGCCTGCCGTAAAAGCTAGGTGACTATGCTTGTCGTAAGAGGCGACGGGTGGTCAGGCTCGCTGACTTGGTTGATACATGTCATCGTTTCCCAATTGCGTGAATCGATGCTCATGATGTCAATCACTGATCCAGACTCGATTATTTACAGACCGCCGTCATATAGCTGGAATATTGCTGAGTGTGGCGTTAAACAACAAACAAATAAATAAACAAAGCATTGATGTCACGAAAACGTATCTTCGCAATTACGATATTAAGCTATTCATGATCATGCCCCGTTCAATTCAAATGAGATAATGTCGTGGCGTCTTTGTCCTTCCGTCGTAATAATTACACTTTAGACATCTATTCTGAAACCACAATGCCTAAGGTTTAGTCCATACAATCTCAGTAATGAAGTTTCTAAGACCTACTCAGAAAATTCCGATCTGATTGCAAACATGGCCGTTATGCCGGCCATATTGAATTTGTTATCTTTCCGCCCGAATTTGGCATTGATGCATGTATAAGGATAGTTTATGCATTAAGTTAAGAATAACACAGGCCATGGTTTTAGGCGCATTTGATTTGAATGGAATTTGACTTTCACAGACACTCATGTGTCTAGATTAACTGTATTTACAGTGACGTTGTCTTGTGATTTAATTCTAGGACCTTTCCATTGTTTTGTTTTTCCAGCCTCTGAAACCGTAGAGTTTATGAATCTGAAACTTTTAAATATGATACAAAGAATGTTTTTTTGTCAAATTAGCTCAAAGAATTATAATCTCATTTCAGGAATTGTCCCCATTTATTCCATTCCATCACCTCCGTGATCTAGTGGGATAGAGTGTCTACGCCGAGAACCGTCACGCTGAAGACCCGGGTTCGATTCCCCACATGGGCACAATGTGTGAAGCCCATTTCTGGTGTCCCCCAGCGTAAAACCATACTCACTCATTCACTCACTACGCCGAGAACTGCAGATCGCTGGTTCGATCCCCAGCCGCGTCATTTTAAAAGACATTAAAATACGGTACTTGCAAATTGTTGTTACCCTGCCTAGTGTTCGGTGTTAAGGGAAAAAAGTAAGGACAGATCGGCTCAGAATCAGAATGCTGTGTATGAGTGGGCATGGCGGGGGGGAAGCTATGCTCTAAGGATATTGATCCTAATGGAATAGGGATATAATACCCTGGATATTGGGGTGTATGGTTTTTTTGTAATTGAACAATTATCTCCCTTTACCATTATACACAAAGAAAACAATTTTTGGATATCTCATGTATTCAAAATTGTTTAGGCTTTACGGTATCTCATCTATACCAAATTGTTGAGGCTTTACGGTATCTCATCTATACCAAATTGTTGAGGCTTTACGGTATCTCTTCTAACCAAATTGTTGAGGCTTTACGGTATCTCATCTAACCAAATTGTTGAGGCTTTACGGTATCTCATCTATACCAAATTGTTTAGGCTTTACGGTATCTCGTCTATACCAAATTGTTTAGGCTTTACGATATCTCATCTATACCAAATTGTTGAGGCTTTGCGGTATCTCATCTATACCAAATTGTTGAGGCTTTACAATATCTCATCTATACCAAATTGTTGAGGCTTTACGGTATCTCATCTAACCAAATTGTTGAGGCTTTACGGTATCTCATCTATACCAAATTGTTTAGGCTTTACAATATCTCATCTATACCAAATTGTTTAGGCTTTACAATATCTCATCTATACCAAATTGTTTAGGCTTTACAATATCTCATCTATACCAAATTGTTTAGGTTTTACAATATCTCATCTATACCAAATTGTTTAGGTTTTACAATATCTCATCTATACCAAAGGATATACGAACTTGTCCAGCTGGACATTTTTGTAGTGATCTATACACATGTCAAATGTCTCCCTAAATCCGTTGACCTGATAAGAGTCCACTTGTTGAACGCGGGACTGATAACCGCTATTGTCAAAGTGTACTTTTTTTCCTCTTATAAAACAACTCACATCAGGACATAACCATGACGTAACATTCAAACGGGGTGCATGCAGGCACACAACAAATGAAAACTGTATTCTAAGAGTTAAATTTCAAAACACTGTCCACCATTTTGCTTTTATATCTACAGGTATATACATAGCAGCCCGATTCCCGCGTCAAGTAATAGTCTCAAGGACATCGCCGTGCAGGTTATCGTAATGTCAGTGAATTAGGAGATTAACCTACTGTGTTTTGAAATTTGAAGTAGTCCCACTGTAGAATAGATACCTCTTTATTATAATTTTGAACCGAGCGCTTTAACGGTTTTACGGCAGCCTTTGTCAGTATTCCACCCTTCTTCGGACGGCGGGTATGGGCTGCACACATTGTACCCTTCACCTAAAAAGGGCTTCCTGTGAATGTGTCGTTACATGGCTTAAACAATGTAACGGTATATTTTGACTCACTGATACAATTTAACGGTATATTTTGACTCACCGAAGCAAAA